CAAAGTCTGTGGAGAGATTCCTGCAGACATGGATCCTTATAGGAAAAAGAAGTTTTTCAGAGATGTCAACCACTACTTCTGGGATGAACCTTACCTGTACAAGAGGGGTTCAGATGGACTGTTTAGGAGATGCATAGCAGAAGGAGAAGTACAGGGAGTGCTTGAGCACTGTCATGGATCCGCATATGGAGGACACTTCGCTACATTCAAAACAGTTCAGAAGGTTCTGCAAGCAGGCCTTTGGTGGCCAACGTTGTTCAAGGATACAAACAGTTTCATCACCAAGTGTGACGCTTGCCAGAGGATGGGTAACATCAACAGAAGGAATGAGATGCCTCAGAACCCGATTTTAGAAGTAGAAATTTTTTATGTTTGGGGAATTGATTTCATGGGACCGTTCAACCCTCCATCAAATGGCAACGTCTACATTCTGGTTGCAGTCGATTATGTTTCAAAATGGGTTGAAGCCATTGCAAGTCCCACCAATGATCACAAGGTTGTTCTGAAACTGTTCAAGAGCATCATCTTTCCCAGGTATGGAGTACCAAGAGCAGTGATCAGTGATGGTGGTACACACTTCATCAACAAAGTTTTTGAAAGCATGTTGAAGAAGTATGGTGTGAAGCATAAGGTGTCTACAGCCTACCATCCCCAGACATGTGGACAAGTTGAGGTCTCCAACAAGCAGATAAAAGGAATCTTGTCAAGAGTTGTTGGGGCTTCGAAGAGAGATTGGTCTACCAAGTTGGATGACACTCTATGGCCGTATAGGACAGCTTTCAAGACACCAATAGGAAGGACACCTTTTCAGCTGGTGTATGGTAAAGCATGTCATCTCCCTGTGGAGATTGAGTATAAGGCGCTTTGGGCTATCAAGCTTCTGAACTTGGACATCGATGCAGCCCAGGCAAAGAGAGTTCTTGACATCCATGAACTTGAGGAAATCAGACTTGATGCCTTCGAGAGTTCCAAAATCTATAAAGAGAGAACCAAGGCTTTTCATGATAAGAAGATTGTCGTTAAGGAGTTTAAAGCTGGAGATCACGTCTTGCTGTTCAATTCCAGACTGAAACTGTTTCCTGGAAAGCTCAAATCCAGATGGTCTGGACCATTTGAGATCAAAGATGT